CTGAAGTGGCACGATTTAATAGTAGGGCAATTAGGAGGCCAAGGGAAGCGTCTCGACGATTCCAGGTAGAGCCTCTCCAGCCGGGTTGAGGCGATAAGCAGCTGGAGGGTGGCCGGGTGGTGGAAAGCCCTGGGGTAAGAGCCATGTCTGACCCACGCTGTCAGGATCCGGGCTTGGAGGTGCGAGGAGATCCCTGCTAGAGGTTCCGCTGAGCCCTTATGCCAATCTCAGCGCAAAGCTGTTTCTGTTCCTGCCGCCGTTCCCGAGGATTAAGCGGGACTGGCTCTGGAGGGAAGCTGTCAGCCACCGTTCCCCATGGAGAAATGGTGATGCCACGCCGCGGCGGCGGCCGGCATCCATCTGGTTGCAACTCGGGGGGGTTGGCGTGCGGCTGGGCGCTGATCCGGGCTTTCCCCTCCATCCACGCAGGGAAGACGGTGGTGCACCAGCTCTCGGTGTCGTTGGAGGACCTCTACAACGGCACCACGCGCAAGCTGTCCCTGCAGAAGAACATCATCTGTAGGAAGTGCGGAGGTGAGTGCTGGAGGGGCTGCGGGTGCCCCCCAGGGGGTTCCTCCCCAGCGCCGCAGCGTGGCTGCTCACCCCTTTGCATCCCCTCGCCGCAGGCTGCGGGGTACGGGAGGGCGCCCAGAGAAGGTGCCCCAAGTGCCACGGCTCGGGCATGGAGGTTCGCATTCACCAGCTGGGACCCAGCATGATCCAGCAGATCCAGACGGTGTGTTCCCAGTGCCAGGGCCAGGGCGAGTGGATCCGGCCTCGGGATTGCTGCCTCACCTGCAACGGCCGCAAAGTCGTGCGGGAGAAGAAAATCCTCAGCGTTCACCTGGATAAAGGTGAGACGGGGCCACGTGGGGAGTGAGGGTCACCCCCAAAGTGCCCCCCACACCCTAAGCTCTCCCTGTGCACCTCGCAGGCATGAAGGACGGGCAGAAGATCACCTTCCACGAGGAAGGAGACCAAGTTCCCGGCCTGGAGCCCGGGGATATCATCATCGTTCTGGATCAGAAGGAACATCCCGTTTTCCGACGCAGCGGTGACGATCTCATCGTCAAGAGGGAGATCAGCCT